ACAGACATTAGCCACCATGCCCAGGCCATTTTAGCCATTTGTAAGTGTATATTTAGTGGCATTAAGTACATTTACATTGTTGTGCAACCATTACCAGCATCCATGTCCAGAACTTTTTCATCATCCTATACTGAAACTCTGTCCCCATTAAACAGTAATTCCCTTTTTCCACCCTTCCTGTAGGCTCTGGAAACCACTGTTCTGCTTTTAGCATCTGTGCATTTGACTTCTCTAGGTACCTCATATAAGTGAAATCATACAATATTTGTTCTTTTGTGTCTGGCTTATTTCACTTAGCGTAATGTCTTCAAGGTTCATCCCTGTTGTAGCAAGGGTCAGAACTCCCTTTCTTTTTATGGCTAAATAATATTCCATTGTACATACAGTCACGAGTTGATTAATGAGGGGGATATGTTCTGAGAAAGGTGTCCTTAGGTGAGTTTATCGTGCAAACATAAACTTATACAAACCTAGATAGTATAGCCTACTACACACCTAGGCTATATGGTATAGCCTGTTGCTCCTCAGCTACAAACAGGTTACCATACTAAATACTGTAAGCAAATGTAACACAATGCTAAATATTTGTGTATCTAAACATAGAAAAGGAATAGTAAAAATATGGTATTATAATCTCCTGGGACCACCGTCGTATGTGCAATCCATTGTTGACCAAAATGTCCTTACGTGGTGCGTGACTGCATAGTCCACATTTTACTCACCCACTTCTCTGTCGATGGACGTCTGGGTTGTTTCTATCTCTTGGCTACTGTGAATAACGCTGCTATGAACTCTGGTGTACAAATACTGCTTGAGTCCTGGCTATCGATTCTTTTGTGTGTATACCCAGAAGTGGGATTGCTGGATCGAGTGGTAATTCTGTGTTTGTTTGAGGATCTTCCCTACACTTCCCACAGCAGCTGCACCACTTTACACTCCCACCAGCAATGCACAAGGGTTCCAATTTCTCCATAACCTTGCCAACACTTGTTATTTTCTGTTATTGTCATGAAAGGGTGTTGAATTTTGTTAAATGCTTTTTTGGCATCAATAGAAATAGTCATATAGTTTTCCCTTTCATTCTATGAATGTGGTGTATTACATTGATCGATTTTTGTATGTTGAACCATCTCTGAAGTAGAGGAATAAATCCCACTTGACAGCGGTATGGAATCCTTTTTATATGTTGCTGAATGTGGTTTGCTAGTAGTATTTTGTGGAAGTTTTTTTTGTCTTAATATTTTACTGCGAGGAAACAATGTAGCATATTTTCCCCTGACAATTAAGATTGAAAGATGCAAATTTAAGTTGGAAACTTGAAAAAACAGAGATTTTATATATTGTTCTGATATGTTCCCTATTTTAACAATAATTATTAATGAAAGAGACAATGAACTTGACATTGCAACTCCGTGGCAAGTATAATTAAATAGTTTACAAATGTGATAGTACTGTCTGAATTTTATTTTCCCTCAAAAAAAATCTCTGTATAGGAAAATCATGCATGTGGATCCATTTCTTTTATGGGAAGATAATTTAAAATTTAACTATTATACTATGTATACCATGTTAAAACTGGCCACTTCTGAGGACTGAGTATGAATTTTGAAAATATATCATCAGTTCATTTTGGATAAAAGAATGCATACACTGAATTTACTGAAATTGTTCTACATCTATTCCTCTATTCCTATTAACATATCTCTACAAATATGATTTTGTTACCACGAGAACGTAGACATAGTTTAAACATAAATTCTCGGGGGAGGGGTGAGGATGAAAAATAAATAAATAAACATAAATTCTCCTTGGCAACGAATAGTGCTATTGTAATCCAAGCCATTTACATACAGGCATACCTTGTTTTATTGTGTTTCACTTTATTGCACTTCACAGATAACTGCTTTTTTTACAGCTTGAAAGTTTGAGGCAACCTGTGTTGAGCAAATCTATTAGCACCATTTTCCAACAGCATGTGCTCATTTCATGTCTCTGTGTCAAATTTTGGTAATTCTCCCAATATTTCAAACTTTTTCATTATTATTGTATCCATTATGCTGATCTGAGATGAGTGGTCTTCGATGTTACTATTGTAATTGTTTTAGGGTACTATGAACCGCGCCCACGTAAGATAGAGACCTTACTCAATAGACGTTGTGCTCTGACTGCACCGCCCATCTCTACCTCTCCTCAGGCTTCCCTATTAAGAGACACAAAAATACTGAAATTATGACAATGAATAACCCTACAATGGCCTCTAAGTAGTCAAGTGAAAGGAGAAGTCACAGTTTCTCTCTTTAATTCAAAAGCTAGAAATTAAGTTTAGTGAGGAAGGCAGATCAAAAGCTGAGAAAGGCTGAAAGCTGGGCCTCTTGTGCCAAACAGTTAACTGAGATGTGAATGCAAAGGATAAGTTCTGGAAGGAAATTAAAATTGCTACTCCAGTGAACACAGGAAGGATAAGAAAGTGAAACATTGGGAGGCTGAGGCAGGAGGATTGCTTGAGCCCAGGAGTTCCAGGTTGCAGTCAGTGGCTTTTGATTGTGCCACTGCACTATGGTCTGGGCTATGCAACAAGATTGTCTCAAACAAAAAAAAAAAAAAGAAAGAAAGAAAGAGAGTGAAAGCCTTATTGCTGCTGCTGTGAAGAAAGTTTTAGTGGTCTGGATATAAGATAAAACCGCCACAACATTCCCTAGGCCAAAGCCTAATCCAGAGCAAGGTCCTAACTCTCTTTAATTCTATGAAGGCTGAGGGAGGAGGTAGGGAAGCTGCAGAATAAAAGCTGGACGCTGGCAGAGGTTGGTTTGTGAGGTTTAAAGAAAAAAGCCATCTCCATATCATAAAAGTGCAAGGTCAAGCTGCAAGTTTTGATGCAGAAGCTGTAGCAAGTTAGCCAGAAGATCTAGCTAAGGTAACTGATGAAGGTGGCAAGCCCTAAATAACAGATTTTCAATGTAGATGAAATAGTCTTCTATTGGAAAAAGATGCTAGTTAGGACTTTCAGAGCTAGAGAGGAGAAGATAATGCTTTAAAGCTTCAAAGGACAGGCTGGCAACTTTAAGTTGAAGCTAATGTTCGTTCATTCACCATTCCCAAAATCTTAAACCTGTAAGAATTATGCTAAATCTGCTACTCTGTCTGTGCTCTTTAAATGGAACAACAAAGCCTGGATGACAGCACATCTGTTTATAGAACGATTTACTGAATATTTTAAGCCCACTGTTGAGAACTGCTGCTCAGAAAAAAGATTCATTTCAAAATATTACTACTCATTGACAACACACCTGGTCACCCAAGGGTTTTGATGAAGATGCACCAGGAGGTTAATGTTGTTTTCATGCCTAACACGACATCCACTCTGCAGCCCATGGATCAAGAGTAATTTCAACTTTCAAGTCTTTTCTTTCTTCCTTCCTTCCTTCCTCCCTCCCCTTCCTTCCTATCCTGCCCTCTCCTCTCCTCTCCTTTCCTTTCTTTAGAGATGAGGTCTTGCTATGTTGCCCAGGCTTGTCTTGAACTCCTGGCCTCAAGTGATCCTCCTGCTCCAGCCTCCCAAAGTGCTGGGATTACAGGTGTGAGCCACCGTGCCCAGCTTCAAGTCTTATTATTTAAGAAATACATTTCGTAAAGCTGTAGCTGCCATAGATAGTGATTCCTCTGAAGAATCTGGGCAAAGTCAACAGAAAACCTTTTGGAAAGAATTCACTATTCTAGATGCCACTTAGAGTATTTGTAATTCATGGAAGGAGGTCAAAACATCAATATTTACAGGGTTTGGAAGAAGTTGATTCCAACCCTTATGGAGGACTTTGCGGGGCTCAAGACTTGGGTGGAGGAAGTCCCTGCAAATGTGCTGGAAATAGCAAGAGCGTAACAATTAGCAGTGGGGTCTGAGGATGTGACTGAATTGCTGCAATCTGGTGACAAAACTTCAAGCGATGAGTAGTTGCTTCTTACGGACGAGCAAAGAAAGTGGTTTCTTGAGATGGAATCTACTCCAGGTGAAGACACTGTGACTGCTGTAGAAATAACAACAAAGGACTTAGAATATTACATAAACTTAGCTGACAAAGCACTTACGGTATAGTTTGAGAGGACTGACCACATTTTGAAAGAAGTTCTTCTGTGGGTAAAATGCTATCAAACAGTGTCACAGGCTACCGAGAAATCTTTTCGGAAAGAAAGAGTCAATCAGTGCAGCAAATTTCATTGTCTTATGCTAAGAAATCGCGACGGCCACTCCAGCCTTCAGGACCCGTCACTCTGGCCAGCCGGAGCCATCAATATGGGCGCAAGACCCTCCACCAACAAAGATGACGGCTTGCTTAAAGCATGTTTTAGCATTAAATATTTTAAAATTAAGGTATGTACGTTTTTATACATAATGCTATTGCACACTTACTAGACTACAGTATAGTATAAACAGAACTTTTGGTTGCTCTGGGAAACCAAAAAGTTCATATGACTCGCTTTATTGCGATGGTCTGGAACTGAACCCTTAGTATCTCCAAGGTATGCCTGTAAATGACCAAGCAAGCAGTAATCTCTTGCGCACATTAAAAGCTTTAAATATTTATATGCATATTATTCACTCAAAATGTGCTTATTCGCATTTACTACGTGAAATAGGAACTCGCCTTCATTTTAGTTACAATTATAACCAAATAGCGGGGGAGCGGGCGTGTCCGTCGCTACGGCCCGCCCTACCTGTGCCCTCGTTGGTTGAGTTCGACGCCCGTTCACGCCTAGTCCCGCCCCCGCCACGCCCCCGCCGTCCTCCGGGCCAGGAGAGGGCGTGGCCGCTGCCACGCCAGGTGGGCCAGGCCGTGTCCTCTCGGGAGACTCGGCGAGCTCGAGGGCCGGCGGCGTGTGAGGCGCGGGCCGCCGTGGAAGCTCGCGCCGCGATCTCGAGCAGCCGGCGCCAGAGGCCCGCGGCTCGCCGCCGACCCGCGCCGCGCCCTGCCCCCTCGGCACGCAGGCCCCGCGCGAGCTCGCGTATGCGCGCTCGTCCCCGCCGGAGCCTCGGTTCGGCCTACGGGGACGGGGCGGGCGGAGGCCGGCCGCTGGGGTACGAGGGAGGGGCCGCAGCCGCCGCCGTCGCTGCCCAGGGCGAGGAGCATGTCTGCAACTCGAGCCAAGAAAGTGAAGATGGCCACCAAATCGTGCCCCGAGTGCGACCAACAGGTGGGCGCCGGAGGCGGGCGCGCGGGCGGGCGGCCGTTGCGGGGCGGCGGTTGGCTGTGGAGAGGCCGCCTCGCCGGGGTCCCGGCGGCCGAGCGATTGCCGGGGAAGCCGGGGCCGCAGCCGGCCGGTCCCACCTGGCGGCGGCCAGACAGGCGAGTCCCTGGGTCCTGTGGCTCGGCCGCGTGGACGGGGCGTCCGTCGGGACCGTCCGGAGTCGCCTCCCGGGCTCCGGGTGACAGCGGTGGGAGCCTGGGGGCCGCAGCGCAAGCGGACAAGCACGGCGCCTTCTCGCCCCCGTCGGCCCCGGCGAGAATGCCCGGTGCCCGACTCCGAGTC